TAATACTGCAACAGGAAAACAAAACAAAAAAAAAAAAAAGGGAGGGAAATATTTAGAAATGATTGCAACTGCATCTCTTCCTTTACTTGAGAATTCTGTTTTCAAACAACGGCTTCCTCTTATAGCTTTTAATACTTAATTAGTCATTTTAATCAGCATGGAGTTGTTCTAATTTGTTACTTCTGTCTTCTGATTATGAAATATGACAGTTCTAAATATTTAATGGGAACTGGTGTAATAGCCATGTGCTTTTGTTGTATGCTGTTGTTGTATGCAGTATTTCCTTCCTTAGTATCATAAAATATGTAATATACCTGTAGCAAAGAGACTCTAGTAGAGAATACAGGTGGAACTGAATTTCTAAAGCAGGCGTAAGTTCACAAGCGCCGTTCCCAATGTCTCATATCTCGTAAGCATCAGTGAAGAAGTTTCTCCATCTTCCTTTTGATGCAGTAAGTCCACATAGTATTCAAAAATACACTGTTCGTTTAGAATTTATCTTTAAATATTCTTTGAAACAGGTATTATTCTGCCAAGAAATTATTTCCTAAAATGAGTTTATAGAGAAATATTCTAATATGAAATAGAACTGTACAAAACATTATGATGTAAAAGTCTGAGAGTCATGTAGAGAGGTCTTTTGTTCATGTTTTAAGTCACTCAGTGAAGACTACTATAAGCAAAAACACAGCTGGAGAGCCTCCTAAATGTCTCATTGATGGTTCTGAGAAGAGAATTCCATCCATAATCTTAACAGAAGCAGAACAAGCTGATAATATGAAAAAGAAGAACAAGCATTTTATGGCATCTAAGGTGAGCTCTTCCTGCTGAAAGAGCTAATTTCAGGTTGGCTGCATACTTGCAGGCTGAAATAACTTTTGTGATCACTTCAAAAATGATGCAAATGAATATAGGATTTTGATATGTTGATATTGATACCAAAATCCAGAAAGCCTGCAATGCATTAAGGCTGTTACTGATCAAACTCTACTGATGCTAGGCCAGTAACGGGAAGGCAAAAATCATGTTGAAGTCAGAATTTCATTATAGAATAGCTGAAGAGACCAAACAAAGCTACTCATATATCCAAAATAATTAAGCAGCAACCATAGAACCATAGACAGCACTAAGTACTTTTCTTAAGACAGTGGTCACAAGAGTGGGAAGTTATCTGTGAGTAGCTGCCAAATCAACAGTGAGCTCTGCATTCAGTTCACACCGCCGGTTCATCCTGACCACAGAGATCGCGGCAGTGGCAGCGTGTCAGGGACGAGTTGCTACTGTTTTCATTGCTCAGTTATTCACAACAGTCCATCTGGGACTGCTGCTGCAGAAGCTGATTTTCATTTCACCTGCATCTTTTCTCACCTCTGTTAAACTGCATCTGAGATTTGCTATGTGCTGTGCTCTAGCTCCCGTTCAGCCATCTCGGACTCCGCTGTATCTTGACCACTGCAGATACAAAGTACACCAAGGGCATTTTTAAAGCTTTTTCCTCATTATCAGAGATGCTTCTTCCTGACTGTGTTCTCGGTGTCATTTTGAGGTTGTGTCTAGCTGACAGCCATATGGCATGTAAGCTTTCTACCAGTCCAAAGGAAACTGTACATCAAAGAGCGTTGTTTAGCATTCCAATTGTGTATGCTTTCCGAATAAACCTTGTAAGAAAAGCCCAACAAATGTGGTCAGAAACTGAGCATCGTGTTTGAAATTTGTGAAAAAAATCAAGTACTTCTTAAAAGGTGGGTGCGAATTCTAATGTGGAATCTGTGTTTTTCACTAAAACATGGAGCATTTGCAGGGTGTTCTCAGCATTGATTCTAACAACTGGGAATTAGGAGCTGGAGCTGAGCTGCAGTGTGCTACATAACAATTATTGAATTCTTTAGAATTGAAGCAAAAACAACTGGAGCATAAATGTTATGAAAATACCTGAGAATTTCTGAGAAATATTAGAAATAAAATAGTTACCCAAAAAAGAGCTAATTTGCTTTTTCTATTATAAACAAATTTTTGTATCAATATGGAATAGAAAACCATTACTCGGTACCAATATCATCAGAAATAGCACAAATCCTCATGTCCAGTTGCTTCATTCATTCATTACACTCCTCTTCGGGCAGGATTTTAATTCATGGCATCTGACACCATTTTCTTGGTAAATAATACAATTCACGTTGGAAGGGAAAATGAGGTTGCTGATTTGGAAAACAAAGACTTCTATGATTTATCTCTAGTAAGAGCACAAAGGTTTTATTTTTCCACATGGTCATTAATTGCAAGTATCAGGAATATGAATTTAAATCTGTGAATGTGTGACTTTTCAACTCACTGCTGGAGCAGCAGATAATGTAGAAGCAGGCAGTTTGTGCCTCGGTGTGAAAACATTCCAGCCAGGAACGTGTTTGCGGTATGAGGGTGAATAAACGTGCAGTGCTAGGCTGAGCACTGCCTTTATTCAATCAGATCAAGATTTGTTTAGAAAATATGATGATCAGATTCTTTATTAAGTATAGATTTTTATTAACACTATATGGTATTTAATTTTAGAATGTTTGAATTGCTGAAATAGTCATTACTAAAATAGAAATTATTTGCCTTAATACATGTTTTTCTTTCTAAATGTTTTTTTCAGCCACCTGGAACTATAGAACTATATTCCAGTTATACTTCTGAGAAAAATCCGATTCTTATTTTAAATTGCTATGTCAGCCTCACTAGGTTAACTTCCAGGAGATATTTTACTCAAGAATTAACTTTTTGCCGGTGCCAGTAGCCTAAATTGCAGCACAATGTGAAAGCCTTCCCTGGCAGAGTAATTCTGAACAGAAGGCTGCCTTTAAGCATCACTTCTCCATATATGCCACTGCTTCCTGATGTTTCATCCTTATCTTTCCTGAAAAGTAAAATATTAGCCTGTCTCAGACCTTCAAAGGGATGAGCTGTTTTCCACTGACTTGTACACGGCCTTTTAAAAAACTAATTTTGGGGATTGGCAGATCTGTGGAGTAATCCCAGCTCATTGTAAAGGATATGCACAGTGTGCGCATTAGCTTAGAAAACATGAAAACATCTTTTTTTAAAGACTGTCACATGCAGATAGGCATCTGCTTATCGTTTACGTTTAATATCTGTACTCCACCTGTCTAAATAAAAGCAATAGCAGTTGACTGATTCATTGTTAATGTTTCCCAGTGAAGCCATATATTACAAGTGTTACATGAGAGAGAACTACCGGTCCAACATACACAATTTGTTTGTAACAATGAAATTAACTGCAAACCACCATTTGTTTAGGGCTTCAGTGTTTTGCTAGATATTTAATGTCTGGAAAAAGAATTATTTGCTGCACATAGACTTGTATTAGTGTATTAGCACAATTAAGAAAATCACCCTGCAAATATCTGCTGCAGGCACATTAAAGCAACAACAGACAAGCAAACAAACCACTTGATAGAAATCTGTGGGCTGCAGAACATCACGGTAGAGATCCTTTGCAGAATTCTGTGCAGTCTTTGCTTACCTTTGTTGTTTCATAGGATGGATTTTTATTTTCATAGCATTCTCGTTTGTGATTTAATACTGCCTGCTCATACAATTAATTGTTTTTTTATTATAATTGTGGCACCACAGTAGTATTTCTGTTGTTCAAGGCCACAGTAATGCAATACTATTAATCATAATGCTGTATGAAAATTCCATTTTCTCTCTGCACATCAGTTAAGCATCAAAAAAGTGTGCATTGAACTTCTCTCCTATACCTCTGTTGTTTACAGTTTGGTTCTACAACGCTACGCTGCACTCCATTGCTAGCAGACCTTAGCGTGGGTCCACATTACAGAAGTATCTTTACTGCAGCTGACAGAAAGAGTAATGTTGGCTAGAGAGAATGTGAAGAAAGAAACTAGAGGATATTTTCACTACTTTTATGAACTTATGCAATGCGGGCACCTGGAATAATGTAACAGCAGAGCAAATCGAGAGGAGACAGAATGCTATGCGGGTTGGTGAAATAAGGAAGAAAATAAAGATAATCAAGGTGAGAAGTTAGCACAGAAATTATGTCTTCCCTCCCCCGCCAAACATTGTGTAAGGCACAAAAGATGTAGGTTTCAGTTTTAAAAATGAGATGATTATTTTGATAAGAATGCCTGTAGTATGCAGAAACGTAATACCAAAAGTCAGCATAATAATTGTTTGTGATAAACAGCTAATAAGCGTTAGAGGTGACAGAATGACACAGGCTGTTACTCAGGCTCTGTTGTGCTTTGGGTGCCATCTCAGACAGTCAGTGCTCATATGCCATCCTTGCTTTCATAGTTGAATGATGGTGCTTCCCCATTGTTAACTCAGGGCTGTGAAAAGCACAAGAAATTGAATCTGGCTCTTGTTTGCACACTTGCATGGAAGCCACAGTTGCTGCATTTCTCCAATTTCTCTCCTGGATAGGATGAGCACCTATTCATTCTGAATCTTAGTACGAATACTGTCAACCTCACAGTTATTTTTATAAGTTTAAATTCCTTAATTACTTTAAAGATATCTACCATTTTATCAATTTTTTTCAAATCAGCCTATGTGCTCAAAACCTATTAAAGAAGCACGTGTGCTATGATAACATAAATCTCCTTTCCTTAGTAAACTGAGCTAAATACCTCTAAGAAGCCAAATGAAGGTTTAATCTTTAAGTAATGACATTTACAAAAAATCTGTTTCTTACAGATGGCCCTTCTGAATTTAATGTCAGTTTACTACTACTATTGAAAGGTACAGGAATAAATAAACTATATTCTTTGGAAGAATTTTTAACCCCTCCTCCGCATTTCCGTGAAAAAAACATGATTTTCACACAAGCTGTTTAGAACACTTACACCTGAGATGTTACACAGCGAACAGTTACTTTGTCTGCTTCAGAGCTAAGTCAATATTAGCACTGATGAAGTATGCATTACCATGGTATTCAGATGGACTTTGCATTTTGATTAAAGTACAAACATATCAGGGATGCCAGACGTGCAGTCCAGGTAGGCAGCATGCTTTCTGTTTTGTAATGTGTCAGGGGATCCACAGACTGTCAAAATTTAGTCAGTGACCAAATACTCAACAATCTGGAGATGGTGGAGAGCCTAAAAATATTAATACCATTTCAGAGTTACAGCTTGCAACTTTATCTTTTTTTTTTTTTTTCTTTTAAGGCACTGTGGCAGTTCCTGTTAATAACACAGTATGTCCAACATGCAGCAACTTGAAGGAAAGGCAAGTAAGTCAATTGCTGAATATTCAGGCAAAGAAATAGCTGTATAGATCTGAGGCCTGTTGGTCAATTTCAGTCTTCATAAATAGCAATTGGTGGATCAGTAAAAAATTCTTCATCATTTTTAAACATTTTAGAATGTAAATGCAAAATTCTAGGACATGGTAATTGAAGCAAGACACTCTCCTGCATCAACCTGTGTAACCTGTGTGCTGGCCGCATGGGGGCTGCTGCAGCCTTTTCCATCCCTTGGTACCACCTGCAGTGAGACGAGCAGGCACCTCTGTGGCCCTCCATCCTTCCTCAGCCCTCTGTGCTCAGTGCTGAGCAAAGGCTGTGCCAACAGCCTGCCAGGCTGCCAAGTGCCTGGGCCCCTCCCCAGCTCTGAGCCCTGGGCTGGGCCCTCATCCCACGGGGCAGTCATTGCCTCTGGGGAAAGCAGAGGGGACCCAGGAAGCCCAGGGCAGACTCCCAAGTACTAAAAATGAAGAGGCACTTACTGGTTTTGCTTTAGAAAATCAATTTAGTTTCTTATTATAATTATTATTTTATATTGCATTTGTATTTAAAATTGTTTATTGTCCAGTTTTGAAACCAAAGTCCTAATAGAGCAACGGGCATGGACCTTCACACTGAGCTTAAGTCCTTCTTCCTGTCCAAACCAAAGTCTTCTGCTTCTCCCAAGGAAAACTGAGGAAAACTGCCTCTGTACCTTCTCTGGTGCTGCCTGCAGGCCTCAGGGAGCTTGTTCTCTGGATTCTTCCTGGTCCTAACACAGCAACTGAGAATATGCCAGCCCAGTCCTGCCCTCTTCTTCAGTGCTTACCTGGAGGCCATGTGGAGCTTCGTGCCATCTGCTGGACTCCTGTTGTCCCAGCATGATGGCTTAGAAGATGCAAGTCCCAGTCCTGCCTTCTTCTTCAGGACTTGCCTTGAGGCTACAGGGAGCTCAGGACCATCCACTGGACTCCTATTGTCCCAGCACAGCAGCTCAGAGGGCACTAGTCTCAGTCCTGCCTCCTTCAGAACTCACCTCAAGGCTGCAGGGCTCATCCATTGGATTCTTCTGGTCCTAATGCAGAAGCTTAGAAGATGCCAGTCCTGCCCTCTTCTTGAGGGCTCAGCTGGAGGTCACAGGGAGCTCACGGCTGTCTGGTGGACTCCTCCCATTGTCCTGGTGCAGAAGTATAGAGGGCACCAGTCCCAGTCTCTCCCTTCTCCTCAGAGCTTGGGAAAGGAGAGGTGAGAGGTCTTGGGGAAGAATGAGGATGGGGAAGAAGGGCTTTTGAGGGCAGCAGCTGGCCTAGGGGCTTTCTGGCAGATGGTGACTGCTCAATGCTGAGATGGAAATTGAGAGTCCCTGGTGCATCGCCAACAGATGTAGCGACAGCTCCGGGCAAGCATGGTGTCAGGTGTGATGGAGGTGGGTCTCCCTCCATTGGTGGTTTATCTTCTGGAGGCGCGTCCACCTCCATGGTCTCAATGTTGCTCTCCAGTGGGTCTATATTCATTGGTTCAGCTTTGCTGATGCTCTATAGAAGACGAAGCTTCTTTGGTGGAGGAGGATCCATCCTTCTCCAGAAGGTTCCCACAATGGGAGGAAATGGTCTATCCAAGGAGCTCCTTGTCTCAGGTATATGCTTTCCGGACAGAAGTCGGTTAGCGACTGGAGTGGCTGAAGTCCCCAGGTTTACTCAGTGCAGAGCAGGCTGATGGGAGGCCTATGGCAGCTGCAGCTCTTCACAGGGAGTGGAGGGCAGCGCTCTGTAGGGACAGCGATAGGGCCTGAGGGAATGGAATGGAGCTGTGTCAGGGGAGGGGCAGGTGGGGGTGAGGGACTGCGCCAGATGGTGGTGGGCATGGCGTGGCAGTGGGCACGGCTCCAAGCTGCTGCAGCTGAAGGAGCATTTGCATGTGGGTGGTCCCTTAGTGGAGCAGGGGTTGGACTTGACGATCATTGTGGGCTCCTTCTAACTCGGGATATTGTATGTCCAACTAGTTTTGTAAGGGAAGGAAGCAATGCTCCTCTTCACCCAAAAGTCCAGATCAAGTTGCTTTCATTTAGAACACAGAAGACCTCTATTTCCTTCTACTGCTAGTGAAGATCGACTCACCCATGCCAGTAAGGATTTTGGAATCAGCCATCTTTGTTGTTGTTGTTTCATGGAAGTGTTCACAGTTCACACTGTAGGAATGACTCAAACCTGATGAGTAAATCGGGAACTGGAGTGATAAGAAAACAATCTCCATCCTCTTATTCTTTGCTACTCTAATACCTTTTTCTCGTTTTGGTTTAGCAGCCAACTTTGTTAAGAAAAAAATAATCAGGCTCAGATTTTCCCATAATTCATGAACATATTACAGATGTGGTAACAGCGCCAAGAAAGCAGTTCCAGTACCAGTTTTATGAACAGAAACTGCCATGCAAATACAGTTCATTGTAAAGGATATAAATTGATCTAACAATCTGAAATGGTGCCACTTTCTCCTCATTGTGATTTGCCCGCAGTTGGTGATCTCGCAGCACAAATTCTGAATAATACTCTACTAAAGGAAAAATGGCTTTAACAGCTTTCCTTCTTTTATTTTTGTGTTATTAGTTCCTTTCTTTTGAGAAAATGAGAATATGAGAGAATACTTTTAACTTAGAACCAGAATGTTCATTTGTTTATTCTTCAGTTATTATTAAAATCTTCCCAAGAGTAATTCACTGTGATGTAACACGGTTATTTTATTATATCAAAGAAGGTGCATCATTTAACCCCTTCAGCATTATTGTTATTATCAGTAGTTTCAGAACTACCTTGTTGAAGTCATGCACAATATCTCTTTTTTTTCTCTGACCAGGACTGTGAGAGAAAGTGATAGAGAGAGAAAAAAACAGATCAAGCAGTAGCATTCTCACATTTCATGTCAGAACAACCTGGCAATTGCTTTCACGAGACTTCAACAAATTCACATGAATTTCTGCCCCATTTTTTTTTCTTGAGTAAGTAGAAAATATGACTCCAAACTTTACTGAGTAGAGTCATTTTTCAACAGAAGTCTCTAGGACATACACTGAATCAGTATTAAGTCACTTCTCACACTACTGAAGACTTCTGCCAAGTATTACAACAGTGTCTGTCATCAACTCAGTGGAACAATGTTCTTTACTACTGAATTACTGAATTGGATAGTAATGGACAGAAAGCAAAACAGAACAGTTTTCCACATGGATTTTCTTTATTGTATGAAGTACAGACAGTAGCGAACATCTAGGATTCAATCTGTTCTTAGGTAAATGATAAAAATGAGTCGACAAGACAAGGCGTATGCCCTCTGTCACTGATGTAAGAACAGGACAACTAGTTGCAATAGATAATTGAGTATGCATAGTATTAACTTCTAAAATCAATTTCTTAAATGAGAAAAGAAAAGAATAAAAGGCTTATGCCATAATGTTGATCTACTAACTTTGTTTTGATGTAAGGTTACCATAAAAAAACATCTGGAAAGTGAACATTTTCTTTAAGATTATCTGTTAATAACAACTTAGACTTAGCTCTGGCTCTGTTTGCAGCCATTTTCACTCTTGTAGAACCCATCTGATTCAAGCATTTCTTGTAACTTTAAATAGCTTTGAATGTGTTCTGGCCTGAGGAGTCTGAGTAATGTGAACAGTGCACAGTAATGTGCATTGAAGGGACACTGACTCTCCTTGATTATAAATATATACTTTTTATCTTGCATGATGGTATAGCGAATGTGTTTAAAAAAATAATGTTTGGGGTTAGTTCATTTTATTTCTTAATTTACGGAGGCATACCTTAACGTTTAAAAGACTGGAAGCTTGTGCTTTTCTTTAGGATTGCACGTTAGACTTTTCCTATCATCTCAACAAGGAAAATGCAAAGAAGTTGTATATGCCTAACACAAAATAATGGTAGAAACAGATAATCCCTTAGTGTTTATATTTGTGCCAAATTCCTAAGGTATGATATTGTAACAACAAACCACATCAGACTAAATGCAATCAATTTTACAAGCATACCTTATGGAATACTTGAGTAAACTATACATGTGCTGAATAGTGTTTGTTTTGCAGATGTTCCTGTTTGTGCATTCATAGTTACAGGCTTCCCATCTGAACTTACCCATTCCACTAAAATTTTGGCAGCAGCTCCAACAGCAATGTCACACAGATTGGTACTTGCTGTATGTGTGTAGTGCCTCTAAGAATAACAAATAATACTAAACAAACCTGTAACTACAATGCTAATGAGTAAGATTTCCTCACTTAGCTATATATTCTTTGCTGACATACAAAATTAGAACTAGCAATTGCACCCCAATTCCCAGGTTGCATTCCAACAGTGATCTGACACAAATAGAGTGCTACTCAGGAGGGTTAAAAAAACCACAACATTTAGGTATATTTTTAACAGTTGATCAGCAGCACTAAATCTAGAATGAAACAGTAGGTTGGCTTAGGATTTCATGATAAGAAGTAAGGTTGTTTACATGCCTTAAGAACAAATTCTGCTATTCTGGCATAGCAAGGTTTCTGGAGTATCAACTGATTTCCCAGTATCTGCACCTTCAGCCTTGATATGGGAATATGAAGCAGTTCAACCAAACTATCCGTGTTGCCCAAAACCCTGATGGACCCTATTTGCCTTTTAGCTGCATATGGATGAGATGGCCGTGGTTAAGAATGTGAAAGGATCAACAAGCTAAATAGCATGGTGCCAGGGTGAGAAGAAATCAGCAAGCTTTTGCATACATTGATGCACTGTCTAAAGACATGACAATTGAAACAGTGTGAGGTTTTTTTTCCTAACCCCAAGCTTTTTTTCCATAAAAGAAAAATGGATTACCATCTTGACAACTGTTATACCGGGCCTTCTGGCTACAGAAGTAAATGACAGTCATTTATTGTGCTAGTTCTTTTCCAGTCTCCATTAATTTTTTTTGTTACACTTGAGCAGAAGCAGTTGAATGCAACTGCCACCTTATTGAGAAATGCATGCCAGAGAAAAGCTCTATGCTTCTCAGTGACAATCCTCTAACTACTATGTTGTTCCCTTAAAACCATAATGTACAAGAAAATGCCTTCACTCATATTTGTCCTGCTGAAACTTTACCTCAGTTCCATCCTGCAAGTTATCAGTAAACAATCTATTTATTAATTATCCCTCGATAAGGCATGCTTTGGGCTCCATTTGCTGCCTGCTCTACTCACTTTCCCATATCCCACTTGAAAAAACTTCGTAGTTAGCTGACACCTCTTGCTCTGAAATGCCTGAACGTGACAAGTAAAATAAAAGCAATATGAACAAGTGCTGCTTGATGTGTGGAATAAAGTTGGTAATTGCATTCATCATTTCTAATTATCTACCTATTAAGCTTGTCCAAGACGCTCATCTATCAACTAAGGGGCTCTTGGAAAGAAATCCTTTGTAATTATGGGGGTTTATTTACTAGCTTTCATTCATTTGTGAGTTGCAAAGTTGTGAATGATTATTAATCCTGCTCGGTAAACTTGTTTTGCTCCTATAGCTTTGTAGTATGGTGCAAAAATGTGATATTCAAATGTTTGCTCAAGGACTCAGGTAATGGTCTTACAGACCAGACTATGCAGTCGTGTACCTACAGAATGCACAAGGTTAATAAATCAAACACGTAAAGTTAATCTTAATTCTGTTGCAATCTTAATATTCTCTTTGTATTTATTTTGATTTAGATAGAACATAAACGTCCACTTTTTTTCCCCACTAGTTACATGTGTTGTTAAAAATGTGTTTCAAACAACTGGGTTATCTCTCTTTCTTCCCCATCACTTCTTCCTAAATTAAGTTCCCATCTCTACTACTCCTTCATTTTCTCACTTTCCTGCCGAGTATCATGAGCCTTTCTTTATTTTTTGTACCCCACTTTGGCAGGACGGTGTATTTTTTAGTTACCTAAACTCAATGATTTAGAGGCATAAATACTAAGTAGCAGTTATTTAACTACTAGACATTGTGTACGTTTTTCTTCACTTCTCTGAAGAGCCTTGGAAGCAAATCAAGGCCAAAGATGATGGTTCAGATGAAGAGAACATTTTCCAGGCTAAACACAGCAATTTGATCTTTAGAGCTTCAGTTTACAAAAATAAGGATCTTCATTTATTCTTCTGAAAAATACCTACATCTGAAACAGAATTTAAGCTAAATAAATTGGGCAAGCCCGAAGGCTGCTGTGACAGGTGCCACTAACAGTAAGGTGAGAGAAGCATGGGCAGATAAAAAGTTGAGTGATGAAGAATACATTTAGTTAAGAACTTTCCCATTATTTACCTTTGCAATTCACCAGAAATAATTTCATATTTTACTAGAAGTATTGCACTTTTGTTTTTTAAATCATGGTAGACGGGGCAGCAAAGTTGTGAGGAAAAAAATAAACTGGAATGCTCTCAGAGACACACAGGTCACTGTAACTAATATTTGAAGGAGAGGAAGCACTAGAGGCTAAAAGATAGGAGAAAAAAAATGAACGTCTTGGTCACGTCGTGATTCAGCGATCTTCACATCAGCGAATAAAGGAGTGAAAAGGAGCAGCTCCCGCTGCGCCCCGGGGCAGGGCTCCGCCCGCCCACCGCCCCGCTAAGGGCTCGTCCCGCCGCTCGGCGACGTTCCATCGGAAGCACGGGCAGCGCTGTGCCGCTTTTGCACTCGGCCGTCATGCAACCCCTGAGCGAACTGCTGTGAAAAAACAGCGGAAAAACGGGCAGGCCGCAAACCCGCACCAGCCCCGCGTACTACATCTCGTTCTCGGGTGCTTTTGT